CCAACGGAGGATCAGCATAATGTAGGCAGACGGAGTAGGTTCTTTATGATAGTAACTGAGTATGATTTTGGGTAGCTTTATCAGTAGTTTCCACGCAAAAAGCACTTCAGGCAATAGAATGAATGCAAGCAATAATCAAACAAATTGTGCAACTTTTTACAAAGGTTTCTTAGTACATAAAGTTATTTATAGAAAAGACAAGTATCCCTGCAAAAAAACTTGCCTATTTGTGAACAGTACATTACCACAGACTACTTAATTACCCATTAGCTTCTTACTACGGTGAGACTGGTGTGAGTGAGCATACTGGACTGTTATACACTGTGGTAGTGCATAGTTGCAATGACACGTCAGAAAAAGCTTTTAATGAATGTTTACGATGGTTTGTGATACTTTATTGTAAAGTTTTACAAGAGATTAGTTTCGCTCTCAAAGTGATAACCTATGTAGTGAAGGTAAACATTATTGCACGAGTGCTCAGTTTGTTTATTTTTTGTGCGATTTCATTCATTTTGACAATAAACTAGAAAAGAGCTCATAAAACCTACGATAAAGCTGTCAAGAGTTACAAATATTATTCAGTAATGACGGTAGAGTTTCTAGGTTATCCAAAATACTTGTAATGTTTCACAAATAATTGATTTCATTTTCATCCATACCAAACATGCTTAAGCAATTTACTTAAGAACAACTTAAGCGTGACTAATGACAATAATTAGACATACCCTTTATACATAATTTCAAGCCCCGTCAATCACCATTCACATAAATCAAAACGGGCACTGTTAAGTGCACATGCTACAAATTCATTGCAAGCTTCCTGTCCAACTTACGCTCGTAAAGCCGTCGTCAGCGCAAATTAAAATATACAGCGCGTCAGCTGTCGGAAAAACTGCGCGCGCGCTAGTGGGCGGCGCATAAATACACGCCGTCCCGCTCCCGTGCGCCGTCTCGCTCGCGCAATGTAAATGACGAGTTTGTTATCTATGGAGGGCTCTAAGGGGTGCAAGTTGCGAAAAGTTAGTCAACGCAATTTAAGATAATAAAATCAAATCAAAATAAAATTTTACGGGTTGCAATTACACTTCGTCCCTTATCAATGCCCTATTCGTCCGTCCGTTCGTTTCAGTCAAATGACGTACTACTGGACAAAAGCCTCCCTAAGGATTTCCACAACAACCGATCTTGCACTGCCCGTATCCAGGTGTTTCCCGCGACCTTCACCAGGTCATTGGTCCACCTAGTGAAAAGCCTGCACTGCCCACACTACGTCTTTCAGCTCATGAGCAATGCTCTATAAGTTACAGTACCTGGTAAAGTGGCAACCCTGACGCGCTGCGCGCGCGCACTGACAGACGTCGCGCTGAATGGCCGCTTTGTGGAAACGCTAGTTTATGGGATTGTCTATGGTAGAAAGCTGTTTCTCTATGCCCCCGAAGATGTGTGCGTGATATAAACTGCAGAATACGAGGCACATAATGCGAGATGAGGCTCAGGCGCTCAGTAAAGTGGAATTTGAGTACGTTTCATGTATAAAGGGGCGTAATAATTTTCTGCTGTCACTTTGACAGCTAGATATAGTTATTCGCAGTGCGTGCAATCAGTGGAAGACGTGGAAAAGGCATCGAAAGTCCGCTGTTCAAGAAAGTTTCACTTGCCGTACCTAACTAAAAGAGAAAATGTAGGTTCCAATTAATTGTTCTGAAATAAGCTATTGAAATTGAGTATTAGTAAAATATAAAACTGGTACCAATATACTACACTAACAATTCACAATCTATACGTAAAGTTGGTAAAAACAGAATATATTTTTCTGTCATAGAACTCAAATCTTTCAGGACGTGATGATGAAATGTACCTTTTAAGAGAACCATTATTACTTATAATGGTGAGCAACTGGGCAGATATCTATAGATTAAAACAGAAGTATTTTATTACTGTTCCCAATAGACCTTCTACTAAAACGATCCCATCATCACTTACTCTGATATTAAACATAATCGCATACAATTATGCGCATTACTCAGCTGCATGTCACTAGATAACCTGGCTAATTGAAAACTTGCCGGTATCGGTAATAGGCGACCGGTAAATCACCGGCAATCGGTAAAACCGGTAATCCGTAATTAAGGATAACGCACCTCTGCCGTGTCCGAGGTAATGGACAATGTCTTGTTGCTTGTAAGGAGCAGGGTACAGTGAGAGAAGAGAGCACATTCGCTTAATTGCATTGGTTATCAAATGTTGTATTATCCGCATGAATAAGGCAAGGTGGTGTGTGGTGATGTCTATGTCCAGCAATGAGCTGAAGAAGACTGATGTATTTTATTACGAAGTTTTACATAATACTGACATAAGCTAACCGAGATAATAATATAAAGATTATAAGATTTTAAAATTATAAAAATATTATCCCCGAAAAATGAATTCTCAGACAAGAAAACAGTACCTAAACATTTTATTCAATCAACAGAATATAAGCCCACCTGATGTAGGTCCATAAGCGACAAAACATTTTAGAACGTGTAGCCGTAGGTATATTGTGCTATCATGCCTTGCAATCGGTATCAAACGGGAACGATCGTAAACAGAATAGATGCCAGTACCGTCTGGCAGTACGTAACTGTTATCCTTTTCATAAACCTACATATTTACGCCAAAATATGGCGAAAATCGACCGAAGATCTGGTGAAGGTCGTGGAAATCCTTGGGAGAGGAATTTGTCCAGCAGTGAACGAAATTTGGCTAAACCAAACGAACAGTTTTTTCTGCCACAGCGTCACCTACCGTTTAACATANGTTCCACACCTTCAGCTTTATAATATTAGTATAGAAGTATAGATAACCCAGAATAACATATAGGCTATAATTTAAGACGATCTGTGACAAACTAAATTTCACGCGGGTGAAGCCGCGGGCAAAAGCTAGTTCTTTATAAAACAATTGAAATATCAAAGCGAGAGACAACGCGGAAACTTTGACAACGCAGTAAAGTATGACATGCTAACTCAAGAAACTCAACAAAAGCCTAGTAGGTACTTAATCATAGGGGCTGAGTATTCCCGAACTCCGCGTATTAACTATCCAAGTTTCAGAGGATGCGAGTAATGAGGCACTCCCAACAATCCGGGCTATACCCGCTATTTGTTTAAACAACTGCATAGAACTATTCTAACCGAACTCGGTTCAAATGTTGACTTTAACTAGTTTGGAACTTGTCCGAAATGGCAATGCCAGATTTTGTATGGAAAGTGGCGTCTTTTTTTTTTTCGCGCGGCCATCGACCAAACCTTTTTGATTACAAAATAGTGTAATAAACCAAACTTAGTATGACATGTATACCTCTAAACTCAGTCTGATCTGAGTTACGAGCATTAGAAGTTTGATGATTTTCATACTAGATTTGCTGTTTGGGCGCAAGTTTTGTAAGCATTGTAATTTTGTTGCAATTTCTTACAAAACTTGCGCGCAAAAAGCAAATCTAGTATGAAAATAATTAAACTTCTAATGCTCGTAACTCAGTTCAGACTGAGTTTAGAGGTATACATGCCATAGTAAGTTTGGTTTATTACACTATTTTGTAATCAAAAAACAAAGTTTGGTCGATGGCCGCGCGAAAAAAAAAGACGCCACCTTCCATACAAAATCTGGCATTGCCATTTGTTTAGGGCAATTTGGGCGATCAAAAATTGCATAATGCGAAAGTAAGAAACTTCCAGTTAAAATTGCTGGTCATAAAAATATGTTAAGCAGTTCACAAACAAATAGGTATTTGCTCAAGAGGAAAAACTGCTCGAGTAAAAACCAATAATGTGGAGGTAATCCACTTATGAATATAACCAAAAGTACATAAGTCTATTCAGGTATAACATATAATCCTACAAAGTACACGCCTTTCCTAAACAGAAAATGAGGCCATGACCCATCACGCCATCACATTGAAAAGTAGTTTCGAGGCTGCTCATACGGCGACAACCTGAAATTCATGTAAAAGCAGTGTACTTTTTAGGTTACACCAGTTACATTAAAAGCCCTATTAAGTTTCCCTATTTATCTTTCCGAATCTTGTAACTTTTGAACAAAGGAGTAGCACTCTTCGAGCGGAAGATCATTTCCAAATCACGCAGCGTGCGCGGAACCAACTGTCACGAGCACATTAATTGCAAATTTGAATGTTGCATCGGACAAAACTATTCCTTATTTCTGTGTTCTTAACCGCCAATGTCGTGTCTAGAATGAGTGATGTGACAACGCTGCCCAAGAGCACTCCAGTGTCGCAGTGCGGCTCGACATAAGGACGTAATCGAGTTAATCGCCGCTCCACATACATTCATGTATGTCGGAGTTAACATCGATTTGCATCTCGTATACACAATTTACATTGCATTATGCCACCGTGTAATGGGAGTGTACTAACATGTCAGAAAGATTGAGGGTTTAATAGACACTGAATTTATATTCCAAGCGCTAACCTATTTCGATTCATATAAAAATAAATATCAAAGATGATTACATCGCGAAATGAATAACTTAGCAATCTACAAAGCGATTTCTGAGAATGTTCTGGTAATAACTCTGAAAATAATTAAGCCGACCCACGCTATCTACATAGCACTGCGATAAACAGAAAAAATTTGATGATAAAAATATCTTATTTACCCTCAGTAACTCAGTATCGCCTATTATGATACCTCTGACGTGCGTCTAATAAGAAATCTCGTCTGCGATGCTATTTATATCGAAGATAATAACTATTTGGCTATACAGAACATTGTTGAAACTAAATTCCTATCTTCAAAAATACGCCATCTTTAACAATATACTGTCTAATAACGGTTCTGATCTAAATATGAATACTTGTGTTACGAGTGCGTTCACTATTGTAGAGGACATTGCTGGACATTGGTCCAGCGGCGGCGGCGGCGGTGTTTGATCCAGGGTTTCGGATCTCCAGTCGGCATGTCCGACACCTTCACCGTTGGGCTATTGTCGCCTCAAACATCATTATTTTGCTCTTATTCTAATCTCATAAATATATTATGGTCCTCACCGTAATGCGGCTCCTTGTCGTGGGGTATATTCCCGTTGGGTTCGAGCCGATCCAGGCACTCCTCGGAGTACCCGTTGTACGGCAGCTTGCCGCGGCCGCCGCCGTTCTGCTGCCGGCCGCGGCACTCGCTGACGTCACCGTCTGGATCGTCTTTTGTTGCTGCAACAATAAGAAAAGAAGGTTAGAGAAAATGGAACAGACGCATCTCGGATAAATCGCCGTCCACTAAGAGAAACCCAAAGTTACCAATTTGTTTTGAGTATTTTTTGAGCAATCTTGAAGGTTCTGACTAAGGGACTATTCGTACTCGTACCTCTCGTTCCCACCGCTACAACTGCTGTGTAGCTGTGATCTAAGGCTTGACCACCACTAAAACACAACCAGCGAAGGTCAAGTTTGTCCAAGGTGACAGTTAAACGGTCATTGGACCCGCAACGAAATTAATCAGAAGAACATAGGAGGAGTTCGAAGTGAAGCTTCAACTTCCCTCCAGTGCGAATCGGATGACAAGTGACAAAACAGAGGTTTTGACTAGAAACGATATACTAAGTAACAATACCTACTCAATTTAAAAGAAAACTAGTCACAAACATTAAACCGCGTCAGAAATATCCTCCCCACAATTATTTTCAAGACGAGCAACAAATTGAGTGCAACAACCAGCGAGTTTGTACAAGCAACAAATTGTGAACCATAAAATGTAGCAGCAGGAAGCGCGATGTTACGGGATCGGGCTTAACTTGTTTGCGCTAACAAGACATTAATGTAAGAAGTAAATTTACATTCAGCACGAAATTATACCAGTCAAAACAAAGACGTAACGGACAAAGCAACTTTTTAGTAGTTAGCTTAGCTGTTTTTCATGAGATATCCAAGTCTCACGTTAAGAGTCAAGTTAACGTTACTAATGTAACTTTAAAACTTAATCCCCTAACTCCATATTATAAAACAACGTTCAAAACTCGATTCAATCTCCATCTTAGAGACTATCCGAATCCGTGTTAGCGAATCCTATGATTGGCCTACATTTTCAAATTCCATCAATCAGAAACCTCAATCTTTGACCACAAATCAATCACACTGCCTCGACCACACTTTTAACACCATGTTGCACACGAGTAAATACAAGTGCAATGATAACATTACAACGAATGCATAAATTCAAACAAATAGCAATTAAGCGACCCTGTCGAAAACTGCCTTTGTGGTCAGACTGCATCCCGCAATTAAAATTGAAAGCCATTTTATGGGAAACCCGGCTGCAGACGACGATAATACTAGTAATAATTAATAAAACAATGGGTATGACGAATTTTAAGCTAAATTGTAGTGCTGTATTGGCATAAAGGACATGATTTAGGACTATCAGAAAATAGTTAATCTATCGAATGTAATGCAAATTATTGAACCTCTAGCTCATGATAATTTACTCATAACTAAGCAGTTATTGTGGATGATTGTCCTTAAACATCTATCTGAACAGTATTTATATTTTTACTTCTGTTACGTATCAAGAAAATCATAACAAAATCATAAGATAACATTCTACTAACGTCACTGTATCCAAAACCAATATTATGTAAGAAGTCGTTTCAAGTATTCATATGAGTCGAGTCATGACAGATAAAATCACGAATAAAATGCTGAAATAATCCAAAGTGACATTTAACTCTATTTGTATACCGAGAAAGGCCTCAGAAAGTGACAAATCGAAATCCAAGCGAGCATATGTACGAATAAGTAATTCATACCTGGATCCATTACAAAACCCTCCACTTATGAAGAACATTATTGAAACAAGAATTTCGTGTTAACATCGTATTGCCATGTCCCAAAATTTTCTACTCGTATTTCGGAGAAGACAATTAAGTTATTCGACTGCTGGTGGATGGTAAATAAATTACCAAATGTGAGAAATTGCTGGTTCCCGTACCTACACATTGTGTCGAACGAGATTCATTTACTGTTAATTTACGGTACGCCCTCGAAGGTTACAATGAGGCCGTATTGAATCATTAATAGACGTCAGAGATGAAAGAAAATGTTAATGAGCTGTTGTGTAGGGAAGTGAAGGCAACAAGAGAAATCGGAGCAAACTAATCCCAGGTTACTGAGCTGGGCGTGAAAAATTAACAGGTTCTTATCAACTACAAAAGGGAGCCTCATCAACCAATTATAGCAACAATACCCGGTTTTTACATCTTCCTCAATAAGAAAATTAGAGTTTCCATAGACAATAAATTTAATGAATTACAATATCAGAATATTCAGTGTCCATAAAGAAAGAGTTCCCGGAATTGAGTTATGCAGAACAATTGTCTTTCAAGTCTGATGTAAAAGTTGCTCGGACTTTATTCAATTTTGGCATGGAGGTTTCTCCAGGGAGCCGTAATTGAATTATCGTTTGAAAAATGAACGGAAACACAGTGGCTAAAATGTAGGATGAAGGTATAGGTATAAGTTTGGTCTGGCTCAAGCTGCTGCAAACCAACTGTGCAACACTTTGCGAAGTAATTTGCATATATCCGAGGTAAGTGCGGATTCAAGAAGCCCCCGATCTCTTAAAGGCAGGATATGAAGTGACAACTGCCGTTGGGGGACACCCCAACTTTAATTGGCCGCAACCCCTTTGTGATTCCCTCAGAGATAAAATTAATTATTTAATACCAGATTCCTAACACATGTAAATTATTGAACCAAGTTAATCAGACAAGCGAGCGTAAGCTGCGATTATTAATATTCAAGAATCTGACTTATAAGATGCAATAAATAGACAAATTGTATAATCCCTTACAAATAGTAGTAATTAATAGAGATAACCATAAGTAATGGGTAAATTAAGCGACTAGGCGCTCTGGAGACATTAATTATACATTCGCTACTGTTTCACGCGATTCCAAAAGAGCAATGGCCATCTGGCTCACGGAGAACTATATCTACTTATCTTCCTTCGCGAAATGTAAGAATTTATGAATAGTTACTTAAGCTATGAAGGTATTTTATAATTAAATAATAACACAAATACAAGACGCATTCCGGACTTTTTCACAGCTCGTAAATTGTTCCCCCGGAGGCACTCGTCTTGTAGCAAGGGTATTTCTGAAGCACTGCTGTAACCACAAAGTAACACAACACGTTCGCCACGCTCCAGGGCAGACGGGTTTAATTATCGAGACGCATTTGCGGATTCCGCGCCAACTCGAGCTTTACAATAATTAAATTCTTAAATTAAATTTATTTTGGATACTCGACATCACATACCACTCATTACATGCGCCGGTAGCGCCTCGGAAAGTTGCGTGCGGACTGAATGTGGCGAGCAACGTTGTTGAGATATTAAGTGTTATGTTCACACGGGCGATAATTCGTGCAAACATCCCATGAATGCAGTGTAAATAGCTTGGCAAAACAATGGTTATTGGTTTTTTCCGGGTCGGATTATCGTGGGATTAGAACGGAGGAGGTACGGAGCACGTGCGTCGCGCGGCTGCGATAAGGCCTTATAAATTGTGTTCTAGAGAACAATGCGTCCTCTCAGGCCGCAGTTCCGCTCATCGTCTAGATACAATTAAACGCTGATGGTTCGCTTCCGGGTTTTCGCGTTGCCGACGACGGCGGTGAAACTCTTTATCGGGGCAAATGATCAATCTCCATTTCTTGTGTCAGATTGAGTGATGCCTCCAATTTGTCAGCAGGATTGCAGTTTCGTGAGGGGCGATTTTGGCGATCGCCATTCTAAGACTGAATGGGGTCATGTTAATGGGATCCGTTTACGTAGACCGTTTACATCAGCGAAACCATCTTGACGTCTAACAATAATATGCTCACGTAACAAGATTTCTAGGTAAGTAGTATATTTCACCAACCGTTATGTCTTTATAATTACGGCGACGAACACTATTGTGTTTGGGACAGGCTTATTTTCTTGCGTAAAATCTTTAGTAGCGTTAAAACATACGGTCGGCGGTTATTATTAAGTCTTGAAGTAGAGCCGCTGACAGCGGGCGATGTGAGTCATAAAGTGTATACTGCAATCGCGAATGTAACTCGGAAACTATTCGACCTGAGGTCATAACACATAACTTAGCTGTTTTATTATCGCGCCGAACAAAGGCAAGAAGTTGATCTAACATAAAACCGGTGTTTGAGTTTTCTTACGCGAAGGGCATACCAGATCAGGTTCGCGAGAGAAGGGAAAATGTGTTTGAATAAAAATTTTCCTGAGAACGAGGAACTAGTTTAATCTGATGAATGATAAAGAAAAAGTTAAGTACAATTAGCCGAGGCACGTACGATCTACGTGCCCGTTTTTTACTGCTGTAGCACTGCAGTTTAAGATAATAAATTTTCTTACACGTAGTATGCAAAAAAGTTTTCATTGCATAATTCTGGGAATCGAGTCTATTAAAGCAACAAAGGCAAAAAACTAACACTTCAAATAAATATACATATAAGAAAACACCAAACCATGATGATAATGGTGATGATACAATGCCTACGGATCATGGGAAATTGAAATCAAGCCATTTCATTTGCAAATTTCAAGTTGTCGTAAAGTATCAAACACACCATTTCTTCAGACATACAATCTGTGAAGTTATAACTCAGCTTTCGAGTCACCAAAAATAAAAACAAATATGCAGATTGCAGATGCGAAATTGCATTATATGTACATCTTGCCGGTGTCAGATTGCGGAAACGCATCGCATGACCGACGACCTTGCGGCTGCGGCGTCATAAACAACCGCCGAAAGCGCCATATTTCATCGGAGTCTTCGATAAACTTCGTCATTTAGCTTTATGCTCCTTTATCAACGGACCTGTGGATCGGCAGAAAATATCGCCCGACTAAATACAATTTATGTCACTTCGGTTGCTGTTCTTTATTCTTTGATGAATTGGTTTTTTTACGATGCTCTCTATACCACAAAGCTGCAAGTTCCTAAAACGAAACAAATATAAACTTAACGTTAAAATAAATTAAAGAAGGGATGTTAACAATCGAATGTAAAATAAACGAAAGTCTTAATCAATGAATCACTTTAAAATATAGCAGGCAGAAGAATGTCCATTCGATTTTTATGTTTTATTGTGATCGTTAACTGCACAATGGAAATCGTAACAGAATAAAAAAGTTCTCTTTAAGTGAATTCATACTT